TATATATATGATGCATGATGTATTTGTTGTTGTTTATTATTATTATTAAAGTGTCATCATGTCAGTTCTGACTCATGTAGGCCCTATCATACATAAAAAAAGCAAAAGGTTATTAAAAAGACAGGAAAAAAAAGAAAAGACCAAAATGAATGTCAGAAGAGACTCTAAAACTTGTTCTTGAATGGAAAAAAGCTAAAATGACTAGAAAAGCATGTTCAATATTTCTCAAGTTAAAAGGACTGAACAAAAAAAATTCAATTCTCAACTTTAAATACTGAATATTTAAAATATTGAATGATACAGAAAGCATTTAAAGAATATGGAAGGAATACACAGAGTCACTGTACCAAAAACAATTGGTCAATATTCAACCATTTGAGAGGTAGCATATGACCAAGAAAGGAGCTCTGGTAGCACAGTGGTTACGAGTCAAGCTGCTAATGTTACGGTGAGCAGTTCGAAACTACCCAGTGGTTCTGTAGAAGAAAGATGAGGCTTTCTGCTCCCGTAAAGATTCACAGTCTCGGAAACAGGGTCGACTATGAGTCAGAACTGACTCCACGGCACATCACCACCACTACCACCACCACCACCATATGGCCAAGTACCAATGGCATTAAAGGAATAAATTCAAGCTGCAGTGAAGGCATTGGTGTAAAACAAAGTTTAGGAATGGACAGAATACAAAAATTGATTCAACAAACTAACTGCACTCACTCGTCTATGCCTAGAAATTTGGAAGACAGCTTCTTGGCCAACCAATTGGAAGAGATACACTCATTCCAAAGAAAGGTGACCAACTGGAATACAGAAATCATCAAATGATATAATTAATATCACATGCAAGTAAGTAAAATTTGCTAAACATAATACAAAAATGGATGCATCAGTATACCAAAAGGGAGCTGCCAAAAATTCATGCCAGATCCAGAAGGGGTATCATTGCTGACATTATATGGATCAGGGCTGAAGGCAGAGAATACCAGAAAAATATTTACTTGTGCTTTATTGAATAGCCAAAGGCATTCGATTGTGTGGAACGTAACAAACTATGGATAATATTACAAAGAATGGAAAATTCAGAACACTCAATTGTGCTTATGAGCAACCTATACATAGACCAAGCAGCAGTAAAAAATCAGGAAAGGTGTGTATCAGGATTGTTTCTTTTCACCATACTTATTCAATCTGTATGCTCAGCAAAAAATCAGAAAAGCTGAATTATATGAAAAAGAATATGGCATCGGGATTGGAGGAAGCCTCAATAACAACCTGTGACATGCAGATGCTTACAGTCTTGCTTGCTGGAAGTAAAGAGGACTTGAAATACTTATTGATGCAGATCAAAGAATATACCCATCAGTGTGAATTATGCCTCAATGTAAAGAAAACAGAAATTCTCACCACTGAACCAATAAATACCATCATGATAAATAAAGATTCAAGTTATCAAAGGCTTCATTTTGCTTGGACCCTCAATCAATGCTTATGGAAGTTGTTGTTGTGGTTAAGTGTTGTCGAGTCAGTTCCAACTCATAATGACCCTGTATAGAGTTTCTGAGGAACAGCTGGTGAGTTTGAACTGGTGACCTTTAGGTTCAAACTGATCTTGTGGTCGAGTGCTTATCCGACAATGCCACACCACTTAAGGAAGTAGCAGTCAAGAAATCAAATAACATAATTGCATTAGGTAAATCTGCTGCAAAGACATTTATAAAGTGTTAAAAAGCAAAGA